TTATGACCTTTTTGTACATTACCCATAGAAAGTTGTATAAAATAATTTTCATATTCCACTGCTCAAATCTGATGTTTACCTTCTTTTTCTCTTTTTCAGGAAATCATCCCAGAAGCTCTGCAGCCAATGTTAACTGTGCAGTTAGAATCTACTTTTTTTCTTTTTCTTACAATCTAGAAACTATTGAATATCGAAGATGTTACAGTTCAGATCTTGCTACCAACAAAAAATCATATGGTTAAAACCCATACTACTCTAGGTGCCACATTTCCCTTGTAGATAGTTCTCTGTATTTGTTGGTAAGACCAGGCTGAGTGTGAGATAAAAATGTATGCACAAACACTACAATTTAACTCCAGGTGAAGAGTCCCCTATTCTCAGAAACATCTCATCCCCGTCACTTTCTTCATGATGCATAGCAAAGGAATTGTGATTCTTTTGAACTTAATGCAGACTTCCGCAAGGGCATTAAAAGCTGCAGCACGAGAAGCTTTAAAATCAGATATGGTTTATTTTTGAGTCAAGATTTAGAACTAATAAAAACTAGTATCCCTAAGGCCAGATTATACATATTGACTGCATAGCAACTACTCTAATAAGCATTCTTCACCTACACGAAGGTGTTCAAATCCTGTAGTTAAAATATGGCACTTAATTTTCCAAAAGAAACATCTAATCTTGCCCACCTCTACAATGTAAATTTAAGAAAATTCTTCTTCTAATTTATTTGGTTCTTTCATAGGCTTAACGATCTCTTTGGAGTTCATTTCAATAACGGAAGCATTTAAGCTGCACTTTCAGCATTAAACAGGCAGATACTCTGAAATAACAGCTATTTCATTTAAAGCAATCTTCATCCAAGCTGTAGCCAACCATCCTGTGCATCCTGTGACAGGACAATTGCAACTCATCCATTTTATTGTAGCAACATAGGCTTGACCTACCAGTTCTGCATGTCTGCTTCTAACTGTCCTGCATATTTAGCACTGCATCATACAATAAATGCACTAGCTCACCACATAATGCTGGATGTAAAAGGAAAAGAGTCCTTCTCAGACCTGGCAACAGATACTTGTATTTGGAGCCGGAAGAATGGATTGCCATTATTTTATCTTGCACAGGCACAAAAAGCTTACATAGATCTGTAAAAATTATCCATCTCACAGTCCATAATTATGCATCTTCCCCTATCTTCTCACACTTGCCCTCTTCTTTTACATTTACTGAGTTCTATTTCCCTTCTTTAAATTTTTGCTAACTTTATTATACTTCTCATAAAGCAAGGAAAATTTGGCAAGCCACTCCCAGACTCTAAATCCAAAAAGCCATTAAGGTGGTGGAAGTGCTGTCTATATAAGCAGTTCCATTTGGCACCAGCACAAACAAAGTGTTCCACCTGCAGCTGATCTCAGCCTGATGACCAGGATCTTAGAGACTGTATTCCTATCTGTCCGATCACACTCTTACAGACCTACCTAATGTATACAGAGGGCAGAGGACACATTTGCAACCGGATTTATAGTCCACCTGGCCCACAGTCTACTACTGCTGCCTAGTGAAATCTCATTAGAAAAAAACTGATAGGCAATTGAGTTGAGGCACCCAGTTCAGTTTCACTTGCCTGTCGGTAGCGTCTTTGCATCAACCCATGCTACCAACTCTGTATTGCGCTGTGTCAATATTTTCATTAAAGTTTCACTAAAGTTTCACATATTTAAGTACCTTGCAAGATCAAAAAGCAAATTTTTCAATTTGACAGTACATATTTTTTCAGTATTTGCCTTCTTATTCATAGGGTTGTGTTTGTGTGTGTTTGTTTTTTTTTTTTTAGTTTTTCTATTACATTAATCAAACTTCTTTGGTCTTAACAATTCTCAAGGCTTTTCCCCTTTTGGTATAATCTGAATATGTGTAATGATTTTCCTGTTTTCCAGTGGTGTACATGTGCAGAATGTAAATGATGTCACTTGAACCAGTGCCTCGAGATAGCAGTAGCCACAGTTTCAGTAGCCAGCACAACCTGGTGCCATCAGCAGACTGAAAAAGTCTACTTCCCAGGCTGAAGCACAATGCAGGGTTGATCCTGAGTAGTCCAATTTCTGTCTCACAGAAAGCAATTCCTTACGCAGAAGTGAGAAGACAGCCCAGGCACCCGGGCTCTCCCTTCACTGGAGTTAAGACACTGAAGGAGCCCTCCATGGGCCACCAGTTTTGCAAAGCCAATTATTAACTCTTCAGTGGTCTGGGTAACTACACTTGTATTCACAAGTATTTCTGTATATTCTCCCTTCCATACTTTTTAACAGAGATCCTATCCCAAAGCAAAAACTTAGCAGTATTTGGTATTGATCACACTAATCCAACAACATATTTGCTACTTCAGATGATAGGGAATTACATGTTCCCTCTTAGAATCACACACACAGTTCGATTTGATTTGTTACATTCATTCAAAAATTATCCTGGTGTCTCTTTTAATTAGACCATCAACCACTCCTACTGAAATAAAAATCTGTAAATCCCTTTTTTTAGGATCTTATCTTTTCCACAATAAACATTAGTTAGTTACTGTGCATGTTTCAGAAGATTAGCTGGTTTTAAAGAATTATATTTAAGACCGACAAGTTTTTTGGTGTTGCAGGTTAGGCTGGAAGATAGTTCATTATTATGTTCACTGTTTTACACTTCATATCTGTCATGGTCCTTTATAAAAAAGAAGAAATAAAAGAGTAATTTCAACATCGGACTTTCTCCCATTCCTATACAATTGTTTTATCAAAGATGACATTTGACAAAGCTATCAGATGTCCTTAAAAATGTAATTAGGGGTCAGGCATTCAGTGTTGTTTTACCTATCATCACACACTAGATACCTGGCTCCCTTTTTTGGTTAAGAATGCCTTCTGTCTCTGGAGGTATTTATTGCAAACACATTACCATGAGATTCTGATCAGAGCCTTTGTGCTTCCAAAGCAGCATCAGAACTTTTAATCATAAAAACCAATCAAAGACATGAAAGTGAGTATCATCCATATATTTTACAAGTCTAATTTTCAATGGAATCTTGTTTGAGTTGTCAAAAAGAAATGCCATATGTGCAAATGATACATATTAATCAGTACTTTAGTTTTTCACCAAAGCAACAGAAGCAACTCCCATAAATAATTTTACATCTGAATCCAAATGGTTCTGTCAAAACCAAAATGACAAATATATCTTTTAATTTCAGCTTCGGTGTGGTTCATTCACAGGCCTATAGAATTACGTTTGCAATAATCTGGAGTCTGTTTTTCTGATATTTTTCTTAACTTGTTTTCATCATAATAAATCATAAGCCTACCCACAGCTATTCAAAATAACAGTCCTGATGCTGCTATCATTTGCAGTAGCATAACAGTGTGAAACTCATAGATGTATAGTATCAATACTACTATTCTCATTGCACTTCAACAGGGCTTACAAGGTCCTAGATTTCTGTTACTGTAAGTTTTTTTCATAACAAAATGCCAAAATGTGCTGAACAATTTGAGTGAACAAAATGATCCGATACCTCCATCTTCCAGTATTTGCTTCTTATTTCTCAATAGTGCCTGGGAAGAAGGAAATTTTATAACAGGGTTCTGTCCCCATTCTGCACTTCCCCATGCCAATATATACTGCTCGTCCTTCTTTTTTCCTAATGAACTTACGACCATATTTTATTCTCTCTGGCATCAAAATCCATCACAGAAAGACAAGCAAAGGCAAATACCCCAGAAGATGGCAGATTTGAGCTTAGCCAACAGCCTTTAAAAAAGCCTTCTGAGTCATTCCTCTGCTTTCAGCCTGTACCTTGCAAGTAAATTGCAAACTCTGTATTTAAAGAGATATGAATTTACCACCACTGGCAAAATGTACTGGAAGTCTTTCTCAATAAAAGTTGATGACCCGAAACACGTCAGATGTTTTTTAAAAAAAAAAAGCATCTGAAAAAAATTCTTAAACATTACAAAATTGCATTGATCTATGTTACTCTTTGGACACAAAATACACTCTTACAAACAAAACTTTTACCAAAACACTTGCTCAAAACGGGCAACTATTTGACACTATTTGTTTTCAGCCATAATCCAAATACATCTGTTTTAATAGAGGAAGAAATTGGAGCTGCATTACTTATGATCAATGGCAAAAATTCAGAAACAAGTATGTATCTCACCGTTACATACAGTATATATGATGCTCATTCTGCCCTTCTCATTCACAGGGACATTTACACAGGAGTCGATACAAATAAAAGTGGCAGAGTGGAGCTTTTAACTTCTAACTTACTGTGGATATGCATACATTTCCCAGACAGTATAAAACATTGCTTTACTCCCTGCCTGACTTTGACCAAACTGTGCAATACAGGAAAATTAAAACCAGACATTAAGTACAGTTAATAAATACGTACTGAATATGCATGCATTAACAACTGCTGCGTTGTGTCAATGGTGACAGAAACTCTTACAGCAAAAACTGCACTACATAAATTCACTTAAAGCAATGGAACACTATGGATAGTATGTTATTAGACTTATATAAAATAATGTAGAAAACTACGCCCAAGCAAAATGCTTTAGGAGATTAGCCACCATCACCTTTCTTTGTGAGTAACTTAAAGAAACAAAAGACAGAACCGTAGATTCAGTATTATACAGGTCCAATTACACATGTCCAAAGATAATCAAGATGATGTGATACCTTAACATTTAATGAAATACTATTGAGACTTTGAAGCTGTGAATCATGTCTGGGTGGAATTGGTTTCTCTGTATTTCATTACACAGGTGCTGCATTTTACCTAAAGAAGAAAGTCCTCTATTCTATTACCAGGAAGGAGAGACCGTGGAATGGTGTGAGTTAAGTATATACACTCTAGAAAACCAGCAAATATTTCTTTATAACTACCACAAGTTTTGGGATTAATTGCAGCAAACTTAATCTCATATCCAATGAATAAATTCAGAAACACTCACCATGATTCCAGTGAGTAAACAGACTCCTTTCCCACAGTATGTATTAGGTACCATGTCACCATATCCAATGGATAGAAAAGTTATTGAAATCAACCACATTGCTCCAAGGAAGTTGCTAGTAACATCTTGTTGATCATGGTACCTGGAAAAGAATAATTTCTTTATCATGAAAATTTTCATTAAACTTTTATGTTATCAGAAAGAAATCACATTAACTGGTCATGCAAGCATTCTTGAGTTCTACAGTTACTTCCTTTTTAAAAGCAGCTATAAGGAATTAACTAAACCTTAAATACAATTACCTCAGCAGTAAAGAAACAGAAGTTACAACAACAGAACCAGTAGTTTAAAATTCAGTATTCTGTTATTATTACTAAAATAGCATAAACGTCTTGGTTTTTAATAGAATCTCTTCATTGGGAGTACAAGTCCTGCTAATCCTCTGCAACGACGTAAGACATGAGTCTACTATAGTTGCTGCAGCCTGAGACAATTATAAGAGTCAGAAAAGGACGTGTGGGTAAGCAGACAGCGGAGCACATCTCCATCTCCTTGGCCTGAATGCAAGTCTGTGATCAGAAATCTAATCATAAGCTATCATGTAAATGCTGACTTAGACAACTAAGATCCTCCCTCTCCTTCAACATGTTCGAGATAAATAGAAAAGTGTGCCATTGTATTTCTCATCATTAAAAGATCTTTACCCTACCTATCTGTGGCAGCCACTGCAGCCTCAAGGTTGCAATAACCCCTGCAGCTGCTGTGAAGCCTCAGGTTAGCTATCTATGCTGCTGGATCCTCAAGGGTACTATTTTAGCCGGTCCCTAATTCCATGTCTCACAGTGGGTCACGGAGTTCACAGAGAGCAATCAAGGAACTAGTTCACAAATCCATAAGCAACTTGCTTTCCACAACAGAAATAATTGCTTTGGTTCTCTTCCTTTCCGGACCGCAGTCTCCATGACAGAGAAGGAATGCAGAGTGAGCACAATTTCACTTTCAGGAAATTCCCTATTCTCTCACTTGCAAGATATTCACTATAAATATATGCAAAATGCCTTCTTCAAAGTACCAACTATGCCCTGATGGTTAAAACAACCTAAAAACTCTCTGACTGGCAGAGACCAGAGCAATCACTCCAAACAAGTCTGTTCCATGTTTCGTCTGTACTCTTCTCTCTCCTAGTGTCAGTGTTATCTTTCTCACATACTTCATACAAGCTTTTGAAGGTTTTTTGTTCTGCACCTAGAGTTATGCAGTAACAGCCCACATTTGGAGCTCCTAAGGATGATAGGGACATAAATAATGACAACCACAACAGCAACAAAAAAATGACAGTAAACTTGGTCTAGCTCATGACCACACAGCTCTCCACAACAAAAAGAGATCTGACATTGCTTTCTTTCCAGTCTGCGCTGAGGATTTTAGTCTCCACTTAACAAACTCAGCAAATATATGGATGCAGGGAGAAAGACATATTCATCCCATCCAGGAGGCAAGAAGAAAGCCTATGTATCATGGAAGTCCCTACAGAGTATCACGTAAGTGATGTGACTCACAGGCTTTGGATGAGCTTCACAGAAGGGAGCTAAAGCCATCGGACATATTCTAAGGCTGGCAGTTAAATACCAATAAATGCTTATATAAATATTTATAATACATTTCTGTAATGCTTTCTTTGGGTTTTGAACCTGGCCATTTCCTTACTTCAAACAGAAAACATTTTTTCTACGAAGATGAAAATTCAATGCAATGCTTTTGATTTTTTCTACATTTTGTCTAAATAGTTACAACCTTACAAAATTTCAGCCCTACATGATGATACTTATAGAAATCTTGATATAGCTGGAAACAGAACATTCAAATACAAGTCAGTAAGTTTCTGAAATAAACACCAGCTTCACATAAAGAATGCCAAAACCTCTCTCTTAGGCCTTGAACAATACAGGGAAAAGATAATGGAGTCTTTATCCATTTATTCTCCTTTAGCCATGCCAGGAAAAAAAACCCAACCTACTCATAGATCATTGAACAAAGTTGACATAGGGTTAAATTTTAAAAAATACAACAGTAGTTTTTTGAGTTTCATTGGAGACATGGATCTTAATTAGTAAGGTCCCCTAGATTAAATATTCATTAAAGCCATCTGCATCCATATTTAGTAGCACACTTCAAGGACCTGTTCAAATGTTTTTATCTTGTTAGCTCAGCACTCTTGGATTTTCTGCTTTCAATATTTCACCTGGTTGTGAATCAAATGGCACACAGTTAATTTAAAAATCATCATCCGTACTTATGACTTCACTGTGACTGAGAAACAAAGGATACTTTGTACCTTCTCCACGGGCTCAACTGCTCAAGCCTGGCAAAGCATGCAAATTACAAACTAATTTCATCTTTTGACAACCAAAACCCTTTCTCTCACAACTGTACAGAGAAAGTTGAAGGAGTGACTTTTGCAGCTAAAATTCTGTATGTAAAATAGAGACAATGTAAAAAGGAATGGAGTCACTGTCCTGATAATCCCATCATTCCTATGCCAGATTTATAGGAAGGTGGATTTTTTTATGTGTTGGTTTTTGCAACCTCATTCATGATTTTTGAATCTCTGTGGTTGGTGATTCTGGTACATGCCTACAGCCTTCTGATTTTCATAAGATGACAGTTGTGCCGGCATACACTTCCAAGTGCTCTGCTATATCAGTAGGCACCGCCATTGCTCAGGATTCAAACTGAACGAGCAAAGCCAGTGGAGTCTTCATCTACCCTGCGTCCACCATCAGGTAGCAAATTATTACATCTATATCAAAACAGGAGAGGTAATTTCTTAAAACAGTAGGAATTGCAAAGTCTTATTTGTATGGCCATGGGAATGGCTGAAAAAGAACACCTGAGGCATTTGAGTCACTTGTTTTGAAGAAGGGGAAGGAAATCTACTTACTGCCTTTTTGACTTGCTCTAGAAGTTATGACAGCCCTAAAGACTGAACCTCTCTCCATTTATGCAGGGAACAGTAAAATGATCACAGCAAACATTAAACTTTCACATGTTTTTCCCTCAGTGCATCTCTAATGTGTTGCACTCAAGTCACCAGAAGGCGTGAGAGAATCCATTCCCATCACCATATTTCTCACTTTGCTGTTGAGACTATCCCCATCAGAGGCAATCACAGCAGACATTACAGTGAGGAGAAAAGCCAGCCACACCTGGAGCAGAGCTGTCTCGCTTACTGTCAGTCGCCATCAGCCACTACAAACATCTCCTCCCTCCAGCTAGACTGTGAAAGACAGCTTGGATGTAACACACTCCAGAATTCAACTGCAGTTTTCCTAAACTACCCATTCACTCTGTATTCGAGACCTCTGAAATTGGACAGGAAAATACTGTACCATGAACAGCTCAGAAACCCGAAAGCTCAGAAAGTAAAGACAAAGAAACAAAGATTTTCCTTTCAGTAACAAGTTCCACACAAAGCAAAATCCAGTCATTACCAAACAAATTCCAAAACATAAACTTTTTGTCATTAATCCCTCAGTTTGATAAAGGTTTTTATTTTTACAAAGATTTCATTTTTTTTATCTCAAATCACTAGAAAAATAAATTTATTTTAATATTTAAAGAGCACTATTCTTAGTTAATAGAAACTTGCACTAGAAACACAGTGAGCCACTTGCAGATAAGAGCTAGTATTTAATTGTGTTAAAACTGCAGCTATAAACAGGTTCATTTTCTGGATGACGTCCAGCCTCACGCAGCAGCAGAATAAAGGGTCATTTAGAAAAGCTATGTATTCCTCCAAAGTAGGAAAATCTTTGGCTGAAGTCACACAGGCATAAGTACTATTTATCACTTTTTCTCTAATAAGGAATGTGCTAGCATGCTAGCAGGCAGGCAGTGCTGCAGCTGGAACATGCTACTCACCAAGCAATCCCCATCCTGTGAAACACCACTATCCAGTTCTCACCAACCAGCACATATAAATCCTCAGACTACTGTAATTTAAACCAAAAATAGCTGAATGATTAGATTTGTGCAAAAATAGCACGGCTTAATTCCTTCCTAAGCCAAATTGAGTGGGAGTTTTACCATTCATCTCAGGAAGACATAAATATATTCCTCAGCTGACAATTCTGCAGTGGCTTGGATTGTCAAAGCAATATTCCAGATTCTTTATCAAACAGCAGTCCTTTTCTTCTGGTTTCGCTATCAGTATTGTGATTTTCAGTACTGCGTTCCTTCAGAACTATGTTCATATTTGATGATGTTTCATTTAACTGGTAAAACATCTGCACACAGTTATCACACACTGACATCTTGACATCCAAGACCCATTCATCTTAAAAAGTGATGAATAATAAGAAATCAAGTATAACATTAAGCTTGACCACTGGCACACTAATTCACGCTTAGCAGCTTCATTTCAGTGCATCTTGCCTCCAAGGACCGCCTTTGACATATTTACCGATTCTGGTTTTGCTTTCTTGAACAAGTCATGCAAAGAACTAAAAAAAAGGTTGAAAAAATGACCCTTTTTGTAGGGAAGACAATGTCCTGCTTTTATCTTAATCATAAAGAAATTCCTGGCGTGCACTACAACGGCAATTCAGGCTGAGTTTAGTCTTGTCAAACCTTAAAAACTTTTAGACTAATAACACCTGGAAACAGGCTCAGCCCGTTAAATCAGAAACTTGTCAAAACTCTGCTGAGACACTGATTGATCTAACCAGCTATTAGAGTGTGTCACAGTGTCAGGCCATTCCATTACTAAGTGCCTTTTTAGTCTTAGTTAGATGGTAGGTACTGGCAGCTCTTTATCTGTTAATACAGTGATAATAATAGACAGGTCTTTTTATTCCTTCTCACTTCCTCCTGTTTGAACGAAAGAAAAAAAAAGAAAACCATGACAGCACTTGGAAGGAGCAGCAGGACTGACTCTCAGTCTAATGAAGTCAACAGAAGACATTTTGCCTGCCTTGATGGGTTTAAGATGAGAAAAGCAGCTTGAAGAGTGCTCCTTGTCTTTCTTCTAACAAGTCTGTTGACATCTGCCAAATATTTATGAACAGCAGCAAAAATGTTTTTGTCCCCAAAACCACTTCATGAAACCGCAAAAAACACCATGGCAAATGTCTGGATTTCATA